CATGTATTGGCCTTCATTGAAAACTCTACTCAGCTACTTAGAAAAAGGTCTCACTCTCTCTGAGCTTCACTTTTCTCCTCTATAACACGGGAGGTGTAACAATACTACTTATTTGACAGGCTCTTGGAAGGTCTTCAGGAGATGAGCCATGGAAATGGGTGCTTAGCCCAGCACTTGATTTATAACGAGCCGTGTGGTATTATGAACTCGCAGGTCAGAGCAGGGTTCAGAATTGAGGAGACCCAGGAATCCTTCTTACTTTTCTGTTAACTTCTAGCTAAATACTACAGCTTTTTTTTTTTTTTTAATGTTTGTTTTTCCAGTGATGCCACAAAACAAATTGATGCTCTAAAAACTCGGAGATACACCTGATTAGAGAGGCTTTTTCGTTATTCCTGTTATTTATCCAGGCTTCTGCCAATATGAGGTGTGAGGGAGAAATGTGGAATGCATGAATTGAAAATCCAGAGTTGAAAGAGACATCGTTCTGTATAATTATTGTAATTGTTGTGGATCCAGCCATATAATTTATGAACATTACATTTCTTTGTGGAGTTAAATATGGGCAAAGCTGAATGTTTTGTAAAAACAAGACGAAGTATTAAATCAGAGCATAAGAGCTAGGAGACAGAGGAGTCCTGGAGGGTCCAGTGACCTGACCAGTTACTTTACAGAGAAAGTGTTGCCTTTGGCTTATTGTTTATTTTCTTTGATTTTTTTTACGAACTTTTCATTGTGAAATGAGAGCCTGGAAAAACATAGCAGAAAAATATCACCGAGGGAACATAAAGGTCAAAAACAGCAATGGGAAAAGCACGTGTTCTTAGGTTTTTGTGACTCCACCCACTTCTGCCTGTCTGTTGGGGACATTATTACGTCCTCTTCCCTTGGAAACAATGCCCCCATCTCAGCAAGGCCATGTTTTCACCAGCCCAATTGTCTATTCCCCGGGTGAAATGTGAATTAGAGCCACATTAGCCTCTGGCTAATGACACAGAGGATGGGTTCCATTTCAATAAACTTGCCAGTTACATCCATCCTGCAATTGAAGTTACCTTCAAAACCTTGCTGGTACCACATGCTGTTTAGTTTTAGATAGAAAAATCAGAACTTGGATGGCATAGAAATTCACTTGAAGTTTTTTTTGTTTGTTCGTTTGTTTGTTTTGGAGGGTTTGTGGGCTTTTTTATTTTCATGATAGGATCTCACTCTGTCATCTGGGCTGGAGTATAGTGGCATGATCATAGCTCGCCGCAGCCTCCTCCTGTTTTAAATTATCCTCCTGCCTCTACCTCTGATTAGCTGGGACTAGAGGCATGTGCCACTATGCCTGCCTGGCTTTTTTTTTTTTTTAATTTTAATTTTCTGTAGAGACGGGGATCTCACTGTGTTGCTCAGGTCAGTCTTGAACTCCTGGCCTCAGGCAATCCTCCCTGGGCCTCCCAAATTAGAAAGTCTATTTTTTTTTTAAGCTATTACTATCACTTTGACCTAGATCCCTTTCATACGACCAAATTCACTTTAGACACCATCCATTTCAAAAAATATATTAAAATCCTGGGCGGTGCCTGTGGCTCAAAGGGGTAGGGTGGCCAGCCCCATATACCGGAGGTGGCGGGTTCAAACCTGACCCCGTCCAAAAACTGCAAAAAAAGAAAAAAACGATATTAAAATCCTGACCACATACGGTACATTTTATTTTGCTTTCCCATGCAGACAAAAAGATTCTATAACCGTAAAAGGTATCTCAGATAAAAGGTAGTGTTAGTGCTTTAGCACCCACCCCCAAATAGAACTGTCTACAGTAGATATGGGAAATGCCTTTGGCTGTTGTGTAGATAGACCACTCTGCCTCCTGGGATGACCACTGCCCCTTTCTGAGTCATGGCTCTCTCTCCTGTGAAATGGGTCTGCGGGGGGGGGGAAGCTATTGTCACCAGGGATCCTTCAGGTCTCATATTCAGGTTCCCTACACTGTAACGGTGACAAGTTCTCATAAGGCTTGTGGGGTTTTTTTCTTGGTGCTGGAGCTTCACATCCTAAAAGCAGACGCAGGGACCCCTTTCTAGTACATCATGGCCCTGAGTGTTTTCAGTTGTCTGCAGCAGGTTAGCAGGGTTTTTATTTTTTATTTTTTGAGAAAGAGTCTTGCTCTGTCCCGAGCCTGGAGCACAGGGTGTCATCACATCTCACCATAACCTCAAACTTCTGGGCTCAAGTGATCCTCCTGCCCCAGCCTCCAGAGCAGCTGGGACTACAGGTGTACATGGCCGCACCTGGCTAATGGAGCAGGTCTTGTTCAGAGCGTAAGGCAAATATAGCTCTCACGTCATGAAGGTTTAACTGCGGGGACACGGGGGAGGTTCTTCATAATTGGTCATATACAAGACTCATGTTGATTTATTTTTAAAGAGACCTGAGTTTGGCTCCCCTGGCAGATTAATACTTTGCCCTTCATAGATTAATACTTTGCCCTTCACTAGATGTGCCAAAAAAAAAAAAAAAAAAAAATCTGTAGCATCTGCGCCTTGTCGAAAGTCTGTCTTTCAGGCTTTCCCACCAGCCTTAGCTGGTGCCACGTTTGGGCATTTCTGCTTCTCCTTTGGTATTCTCCAGGGAGCCAGAGTTTTATCGCCATGTATTATATTTATTTCTACATCTTTCAGCCAGAACATAAAATAGAGGAAAAGAAAAAGGAAGGAACTTCTTTCTGCCATGCTCTTTTTTAAAAAAATCCTTTTCTTAGTGTATAGGTAAGATGTGCAATGTGATGTTTTGATAGACATCTCCACAGTGAAATGATCACTGCAGGTAAGCAGTCACTTTCCTTAGTTATCTTTTTATTCTTTTTTGTAATAAGAGCACTTAAAATCTACTCTCGCAGCAAATTTTCAATGTATAATACAATATTATTTGCCAGTCTTCCTGCTGTGCATTGGCCGTTAGATCTCTAGACTTACTTATCCCTACATCATTTCACGTTTGTGCTCCCGAACCTTTGTCTCCCCGTTTCCTTCCTCACATTGCCCCTGGCAGCCACCCTTCTGCTATTTCTGCATGTTTGACTTTTTAAAAAATTCCATACCTAAGTGAGATCACACAGTCTTTTTCTTTCTGGATCTGGCTTTCTTCACTTAGGACAGTGCCCTCCAGGGTCATCCTTGTTGTTGCAACTGGCACTGTCTCCTTTTTTGATTAAGGCTAAATAATATTTCACTGTATGTCTCTACCACGATTTCCTTACCCATTCACCCTTCCTGAGATACTTAGGCTGTTTCCATATCTCAGGTAGGTGAATAAAGGGGAAAGCCGCTTGACTGTCCTCTCCTCCTCCCCTCCCCCCTCCCAGCAGTTCCTGCATCAGCTGCCCCCCTACCTCCACAAGGTCCCCATGTCCCCAGGCTTCCCTCCTTCCAGTCAACTCCACTGCAGCCAGAGCAGTCCTTCTCAGATGCTCAATTGTCTGCCTCACTCCTCTGTTTGAGACACACTGACTCCCTGAGGCTGGGAAGATAAAACCCAGACTCCAGAGTGGCTCACAAGGCTCCTCGGGGTCTCTCCAGTCTCAGACTTCACCTTTTGTGATCCAGCAACTCTGAACTTTTTCAGTCCCTCAAAAGCCCCTCTCACATCCCTGGGTCCTCTGCTTAGAGGTTGTGCTGCCTCTCACGCTAGAGTCACTTCTTATCCTTAAAGACTCAGCTTCTCTCACTGCCTTCTAGAAGCCTCTTCTGGTCCCCATTCTGGGATACACGCCATGCGTCCCTCACACCCTGCTCACCTGTTGTCACATGCCATCTTGTCATGACCCCTGTTGCCTGATTGCCCATATTTCCTCATTCCCATAAACTCTGATGATCTTATATCTGCACAGTGTGTGGCACTGAAGGGATTCTAGGTAAATTATAAACAGCTATACCAGTTACTTAAGAGAAATGCTTGCGAACTAATTGTGTCAAATCATTTCACGCTGGGAATACCCTTTTGTAATGATTATGCTTGGGCCTACATTGACATTTACCTTTTTCTTTCATTCAGACCACACAGAGGCCAGGCATATGACAATTATCTCAAGCCTGGCTTTACTACCCACCATTGTTGAGTAATTAAGGACCTTTTCTGGGTCCCGGTGCACACGCTTAGGTCTGGGGTGCATTTTCCTTCCCACACAGCCCCCCTGAGAACTGTACACACCGAGGAGGAAGCAGTGACTCCGTAGGTGCCAGGCAGGTGAGAGAGTCTCTCATGCTGACTATGGGCATGGTCCCTTCCCACCTGGAAGGGAACTAGAGAATGGTGGGGAAGAATAAAGGGAAGGAAGGCAGAGAAGTTGTGTCCTCTCAAGTTTTGTAGAGGACATTGTGATTATGAGCGGTTCTCATTTTATGAAAACTATTCCATCTTTTCTTTCTCTGATCCCTTATTGTGCATGTAGAGCCACACAGGCTGTTTCGTCAAGTCCCCAAGAGGAAGAAGCTTGTCCTTGAGACAGACATGAAAGGAAAGGTTTTCCTAATGCCAAGTGTTTGTCATCATCCTCTTCAGGGTCTAACTTTGCAGCATCCCCGGTATTGACCCATCTTCTGTGTCCAGCACCCTAAATTGGGAAAACCAGATTGGCCCAATAATTGTAAGGTTTGGAGTTCCCATTGTATGATCTGCTCCCAGGTCCATCATTGAACCCTGCTGTGCTCTTGGGAGATGCCTCAGGAAGGATAGCCGACCTTTACCCAGGCCCAGCTGTGTCTCTGGCACAAACCAAGATCCTGCCTTTCCATGCTAAGAGTATTTTGTTCATACACAGCATGTCTGTTCAGTTATGCCCTGCCTCCATTCTTCTATAGAAAACAGTGTGCTAGTAAATGATTATAATTCACACATTTGGGGAGCCTTGTTTTAGATGAGTACAATGGACTATAGATTCAAGAAACTGTGAGTCCAATATGAAGGAATCTGACAATAATGTTCTTTGTTGTTTTCTTAAAATTTATTAATTTTAGGTCTGGAGTTCAAACTCTGCCCCACAACGCCAAGGTTCACTACAACTATGCCAATTTTCTGAAGGACCAAGGTCGGAACCGGGAAGCGATCTACCACTACAGAACAGCCCTCAAGTAAGTGCCACACAGGGAGGGCGCTGACTCTTGTGCTCTGATGACCCTTGTTTATCCCCTCCCAGGGTATGGGTGTTGGTTTCTCTTGAGAATGAGTGTATTCTCAGAGATGGTGTCTTCTGGCTCAGTATTCAAGTCTGTTATGAGTGTGATAACTCTCCATTGCCTCTAACTCTTTTTGTTTTCCCCACGAAACTATTTATTGCTACATATTATTCAATGAAGTGACACTCAGTTGAATATACAGTAGGACCTCTGTAGTTGACCACCTCCTTACATCGATCTTCTCCTTCAGTTGACCTAATTTTCATACATGGGATATGCACCCCATATACATGTCAATACAGTAGGCCTAGTTCCTTCTGTTGACCACCTCTGTGTGTTGACCAGTTTGTTACAGTCCCTTGGGTGGTCACCTTCCTGAGGTTCTACTGTATGTATATGTATGCGCACAATTTGGTTTTCTGGTAAGTTCTCAGGATATTTATTCCAGTGAATTGTTAATGGTGTGTATGTAGAAAGCTCCTTTCATGTCTGAAAGAATTTATATGGTGACATTTGTGTATAGAAGTGCAATGCCCTGGTAGTTACATCACATAGTAAGAAAAAGAAGACAGTGGATTGCCACACTGAGAATATGTTAATCACGTGTGTGTGTTTACATACATTCTTTAATACTCTCCTTGGATTCTTCCACTGGAAGGGAGAGTACTTAAATGTTCTTAGATATGACTTTAGGGGAAACGAAAAATTTAAGTTTTACTTTATCATTAGTAATAATGTAGATACTCTTGTGAATTGCAGCTCTAATTTATAAGGTGGTTTTCTTTACAAGGTCCCAGAGAATAAATGTATTTAACCTTCAACACATGGAGATGGGAAAATTAAACATAGCCTTGCAGTCTCCAAATTGTGGGCAAAATAAAGCAAGGTGAATCCTCTTCCTTCATTGAATATTGTGATACTCCTAGAAACCTTTTGAAGACGTTTCTTTACCTCCATAGATTGATCCACCTTTGGTTGGATTTTCTGAGCCTGTTCCACTTTGGAGTATGTTCAAGATACATTTACCAACCAAATCATCCCTTTCACTAGGATTGTCTCAAGACTTGGTTTGAAATTGTCATTGTTACGTTCAACATAAGTATAACGTTCATCACCAAGATCTTCTAGACTTTAGGATCTGTTACTTAACATTCATTATGGTGAAACTCTAAAACCATATTACTTATTGTTTATCATCAGATGCTTTCCCAAATACTATGAGAAAAATAACTCCTAGAGAAATAATCATAACCAAGCTTTTTTTTTTTTTGAAGAATAGAAGTTTTTATTAAGGAATAGAAGGTAGTTTTAAGACTTAATAAAGAATTGTATTCTTTCACTGGAAGATATTTTCCCAACTGTTTACAGTGCTCCCCTCGGGTAGGTACAACAACATAAGGTTGTTTTCCTTATGTTTTCTTCTGTTGTGTCAGGTGCTCCACAATGAACATCTATTACTTTTGCAGGGAGAAAATGGCATTTTTTAAAAAAGCATATTCCTTCAAGGACACATCAAATATGTACTTTGACTTTAATAATTAATTTCTTTTTTTTTTTTTTGAGACAGCGTCTCACTGTGTTGCCCTCAGTAGAGTGCTGTGGCATCACAGCTCACAGCAACCTCAAACTCTTGGGCTCAAGTGATCCTCTTACTTCAGCCTCCCAAGTAGCTGGGACTACCAGCACCCACCACAATGCCCCACTAGTTTTTAGAGATGGGGTGTCGTTCTTGTTCATGCTGGTCTCTAACTCCTGAGCTCAGCTGATCCACTCTCCTTGGCCTCCCAGAATGCTGGGATTATAGGCGTGAGCCATGCACCCAGCCTTAATAATTGATGTTTAACAATTTTAGATGGCATTGTTGAAGGGGGAAAAGCAGAGTGCTAAGTTTGGTGGAAAATATTGATTAAAAAAAATATATGTTGATTAAAAGAAAATGTATCAGTATTTTAAAAATTTGTTTTATTATAAAAGACTATATCCTGCCAAGTTTAAACAGAGAAATAAGGCAGACTGTATGGCACAGCTTGGGGCAAAAGTACAAATTAAGCAAAAGTCCCTGGCAGTTGATTTTACAGAGTTATAGTAGCTGGTTGGATACTTCCGCTTCTTTCCCGTGAAACAATAAAAATAAACTTTTGCTTCAGTAACTGTGTTTCTGGAAGAAATATGTCCCTTGAGAAAGGGGGAGAAACAATTAAAGCTATAAATATAATGCACAGTAATTAGTGAAATATTTTATGCTCTCGGACCAGGTTCAAAGTACTTCTGATTGAAAATACCATTTCTTATGTGGATACCCCGTGGTAAATTTTCAGCCGAGGTGGGTGTTTATGTTTTTGTAAAAAAATAAATTCACTCTTCTATGTTAGAAAGAAAAGGAAAATACCAGGACTATCCATCACGGTGGTGATGATTTCTCCGTGGTGACTGGAAGATTGCCCTTTCTGTGATATTGCTGTTTCTCTGGAAGTTGCTGAGACAGGGATTTCCGTCCCTCCCAACTGTTCTACCTCTACTTCAACTTTAGTGCTTCTGATGTTTTCCATATTTGCACACAGCAAGAAGAGAGTGAATGGGGAAGTACAAGGTTAAAGGCACTATTATCTGAAATCAGGTCCAGCAGTTACCCGTTACTGCTGTACTGACTGCGTAGATCCCAAAGGCAGTGGTGAAGTTAGTCACAAGGGTTGTATCCATACCAGTTTCTCTTTGGCTGGCATACAGTTCTAAAAATAGCACTACATCAAGCTGGTAATCATATATGACATGAATATTTTGCTTCTTTTGCACTCTTTTATTTTGTAAATAATGTAGCAGTACCACTGATATTTCCTCCCTTTCTGTATACCTCTTTTATTATATTTCTTTAGTTCAAGGGAGCTCTCACCTAGAAAGTGCTGAAGTGAAGGTTATGTATTCAGTTTAAGACCCAGATCATCAAAGAAAAATGTCAGAATTCTTTCCTTAAACCCTCAACCAACATGAATGTTAGCTTTGCTATGCTGCAAGGGGCAGCTCTCCTGTTTCTACCTACTACAAACTGGAATGTCTGGGGTTATCCATATTAAGAGAATCAGAAAAACACTGGTGCATCTGCCATATGCCTCCAAAGTTTAACACCCATTTAGTTACTCTGAAAACGTTTCTCACATGGTAAGAACAGAAAGTTCAGAGACTACTGAACAATTCAACTCTTCCTACACAAGAACTCCCAGGAAATCCCTCATCCTGTTATAAAGGAGGAATAGCTTAGAAGATGCTAAACATGTACTTGGCCCCCTACGTACATTGTTGGTTAGCTTTAAAAATTAGTTAAAGGTAGAGAATCACAGAACAAGTTAAACACACTCTTGAGTATTTTATTTTACCCTGAAATTTCGTATGTAAATCCATTCACCAATCTTCTGATGTCAAATCAAGCTCTTTTCTTTGAGTAAGAGTCTACTGATTAGAATCTGTGAAAACCACATCTGTAATTCACTGCTGTGATTATCAGTTTTGATATTTTAAATTGGAAAAAAAAATTTAAGACAACATGCAAAGTCATTCGGATAGACTGAGATTTTTCTGATTTTTCTCCTCTGGTTATTTCACTCCCATAATTCAACAGTTAATTTTTGGAACTATCCTTTCTTAAGCCTTTTCAGACTATTTACTAATTTTCAATAGAAAAATTCTTTTTCATGCTTAAATTGTATCAATCTAGAAAACCAGGCTCTTTTATATTGGCATAACAAATTTTCTATTGTGTTTTTAATGCTCTTATACAAAAGAAATCTGCACTCACTACTTAGTTGGCTAACACAAGGTAAAAGATAGAAGTAAAATCTTTCTGATTGGAATTTCTTGAATACATAAAATAGAGGCTTATCATGACAATGGTGCCGATTGATATAATTCTTTGTATTCTCTCCTACATGGCTAACTGGAACTCAGCAAGGAGATTCTGTTAGACTATGATAAGTGTATATGGGAAAAAAGAGGTAATAATGGAATAAACACTAAAGAAACAACATATCCTTAGAATCTAAGAAAGTCTAATTGGCGGGGCAGGGTGACTCAGGCCTAAATCCTAGCACTCTGGGAGACCAAGACCAGTAGATTGCTTGAGCTCAGGAGTTCAAGACCAGCCTAAGCAAAAGTGAGACCTCCCTCTGTAAATAAATAAATAAATAAATAGAAAAATTAGCCAGGCATGGTGGCAGGCACCTATAGTCCCAGCTACCCAGGAGGCTAATGTGGGAGGATCGCTTAAACCAAACCCAGGAGTCTGAAGATGCTGTGAGCTAGGATGATGCCACTGCACTCTAGCCTAGGGCAACAGTGAGATTCTGTCTCAAAAAAATGAATAAATAAAAATAAAGAAAGAAAAAAGTCTGACCATGACTATAAATAACCATTGTTTTTTGACATCTTGAGTATATCATTAAAATTACTTTCTTATAATTCTTTTTGCTATAATTCTTTATAATGCTATTTATAGAAAACTATTGTCTGTTAAGTTCACACAGAAAAATAAGGCATACCCTAAGGCACAGCTTGGTAAAGATCGAACATGTTTTAATAATCAGGAGTCAATGAGTATTTAAAAAGTCCTCTTTACGCAGCCTATTTTGAATGAATGTTTTAAAATAACTCCCATGACTACAGGTGGCCTTGGATACCATCTGCCATGCATTTCAGGGGAGAATTAAAATTCCAATAACATGTGTTAGCCAAGTTTAACAGGAGGAGATGCGTTTTTCAGCTGGTATGCTGTTTCACTTACAAAAGTCTCAATATGCTTTCTAATATCACTTGAAATTATTTTTGTTTCTCCTTGTTGATGAAATTACGTTCTCACTATAGAATATGTTGTGTTAATTAAATCTGGTGGTTTTAGTGATTAAAATCAGGAAATCAAATATTACTTTGTTTAGAAAAGCAACCTCCATAATTTATCTTCAAAAAAG